CATGGAAAGGGAGTGGACTGACAATTCTTGGGGGGAAAGGGGTGTTGGGGTGCAGGAAGAGACTGGACAAAAATCGTACACCTATGGATGAGGACAGTGGGAGGGGTAAGGGCAGAGGGTGGGGTGGCAACTGGGTGGAGGAGAGCTATGGGGGGAAAAAAGAGGAACAACTGTAATAATCTGAACAATAAAGATTTAATTAAAAAACTTATTATAAAACTACAGTAATTGGAACAATATTGTGCTGGCTTAATTTTCAATGGAATAAAATTGTGGGTTGGAAATAAACCCATACATCTATGGCCAACTGATTTGTATCAAGGGTCCAATGGGGAAAGATATGTTTTCCAAAGAGTGGTGCTGGAACAACCAAATATTCACATGCAAAAGAATGAAATTGGATCCCTACCTCACACTATATAAAAATTAACTCAAAATTGATCCAGGAGTTAAATATAAAATATTGAACCACCAAACTGTTATAAGGAAACATATGGGTAAACGTTGGATTTGATAATGACTCTTTAAATAAGATACCAATTTCACAAGCAACAAAAGGAAAACTAATTGGAGTTAAGCAAAATTAAAACATTTTGTGTATGAAAGGACACATCAAAAGAATGAAAAAAAAACAGTCTATAGAATGGAAGAAAATATTAATAAACCATACTTCTGATAAGAATCTAGTGTTGAGCCGAAACCGGTTTGGCTCAGTGGATAGAGCGTCGGCCGGCGGACTGAAAGGTCCCAGGTTCGATTCCGGTCAAGGGCATGTACCTGGGTTGCGGGCACATCCCCAGTGGGAGATGTGCAGGAGGCAGCTGATTGATGTTTCTCTCTCATCGATGTTTCTAACTCTCTATCTCTCTCCCTTCCTCTCTGTAAAAAATCAATAAAATAAAAAAAAAAGAATCTAGTGTTGAGAATACATAAAAAGACAACCCAATTAAAAATGCACACAGGACTAAATAGACATTTATCTAAAGAATATTTTCAAGTATATGTAAAGGTCTCAGCATCATTAGTCATCAGGTAATGTAAATCAAAATCCAAGATACAACTTTAAACCATAAGAATCTATACTAGGTTCTGGAAGGTGGAGCCCTGCGAGTTCCCACAGCCTCCCAGGCTCTTGTTTACACACTTCCTCTTAAATCTGTGAGTCTGATTGTTGATCCCAGTGCATGTGATTGCCCAATTGGGGTCGCTAGCGGAGCTTGTAGGGGAAGATTGTTTTTGGGGAGCCTGGAAAACAGAGCTGAGAGTGGCGACTGGTGAAACAGATCTGGGCGGAGCTGGTTCAGGTACAATAGAGAACTCCTGGTCAGAGAGGACTTAAAGCCTTGGAGGTCAATCCAGACACACTGCCACCCAGAGGCAGAGCCACGAACTGACTCTTCTGTACATACAAATACAG